GCCGCAGCCGCAGCCGCAACTAAGGGCCCGGCTGTCGTCTGCGCACCGTGCGCCGGCTCTTGCCCTCCTGCGCCGGCCGCTGTCCCCACCCTGGCAGCTCCTGCGGGCTGGCTCAGGAGAGATGCGCGGAGCTGGGGAGCCAGGGCTGGCCAGGAGCGGGTGGCCGCGGACTGCGGCGGCGGCCGGCGGGGGCGCGCGCGGGGCGGGGTGGGGGAAGTCCCGGGCCCGGGAGCAAGCAGAGAAAGGAGCCCTTGTGGGCCTGTGCTGCTGTGTGCCCCAAAGGCGGGCACCGAGGCCATCTGCTGGTCTGTCTGGTGCCCAGGGCGTCTGTGCGTGGAGTCATGTGTGCGTGTCCACAGGGGCATCCATGGGTTGGGGGTGACTGCGTGTGCACACCTGCTTCTGCGCCGCGTGTGTCCCTTCCCTCTTGGGGTTTTCCTGCATTATGCCGCCTGCGACTTCGTACCTGTGTGTGGTACCTGTGTCTGGCCCTCTAGGGGACACAGCCTCTAGGCAGATGTCCGTGGGTGTGTCATGGATGACCTGTGCCTCTCTAGGTTGGCCTGCACATGTGTGTCCACAGAGCCCCTGTGTGTGTGTGTGTGTGTGTGTGTGTGTGTGTGTGTGTGTGTGTGTGTGCGCGCGCTCACATGTATCTCCCTGGTGACTGAACAGAATGCGCCTTTGTGTCTCTGAGCCACTAAGGGACGCGGTCATTGGAGGCCGAGTGGGAGCATGTGGAATTCTGGAACATTTCTCACTACACAACCACAGCTTGTTGGAGCTCCGGAGAGCCTTGGCCGGTTTCCAATTCAGCCCTTTGTTTTAGAGATGAGGAAACTGAGGCCGGTAAGGAGAGGCATATGGCCAAGCTTCCCATCAGACCCGCCCGTGTGTTGTAAACTGGACACAGTCCTCTCAGTCTCATGAGGTTGGTGAGATGAATCCCCTTTCACAGGTAAGAAAAATGAGGCCCCCAGTATCCGGAGGAGGAAGTGACAGGGTAGGGTTCTAAGTCCATCAGGAAGAAGCTGAGGCTGTCTGCTCCCAGAAAAATGTACCATCTCAGAAACCCCAGAGAGGGTCTCCGCGAGTGAGCATGGACTTGGTGGCATGGGTTGGTGGTCCCTGGGTCTAACTTCAAAGCTTGCTGGCGTTCTACAAGAGGAGTTTTCAAAGTGTGGTCCTTGACAACCTTTCAGGGACTCCCTGGGGTCAAGACCATTTTCCCAGTAATATTGAGACACCATTTACCTTTCACACTTCCATGCACTCACAGTAAAACAAGAAGTGGAAAACTCACCGCCATCGTGTCAACTCTAGCTCAAATCGACCCTAGAGGGCAGGGTAGAGCTGCCCCTGCGAGTCCCTGAGACCATGACTCTTAGCGGGAGTAGAAAGCCTCGTCTTTCTCCCAAGGAGCTGTTGGTGGTTTTGAACTGCTTCCCTTGTGATGAGCAGACCGACATGTAACTGCGATGCCCACCAGTGCTCACAAAAGTATGGAGGAATTTCCCAGAAGCCACATGGTATCTATTAAGTCAGAAAGCATTAATAAGAGAGGTGTTTACTAAGACAGTTATAAAATAATGGTATTCTTCTAATATATATTTTTTCCTTAAAAAAGTCATTTACAAAAAATTTAAAAAGTCATTTACATTGACAATGTGTTTTTGTATGTTAACTTAAAGTGAGTTTAGGGTTACTGTTTCAAACTAAGAAATTAAAAGGTTTTAGTAACAATAGATGCATGGATAACCCACATAGCCGAAAGCTCTCCCAGTTCCTTGATCTTGTTTGAAGAATATAAGGGAGTCCTGCAGACAAACAGCTCGAGATCTGCTGCCCTTCATACATCAAAGACCCAGCACAAACAATCATATCGATGTGAATGGAGGGGCAGGGGGAGAAGTGGAGTCCCAAAGCCCATCTGTAGTCAATGGGACATCCCCTCACAGAAGGGTCACAAGGAAGAGACAAGCCAGTCAGGGTGCAGTATAGCATCAATGAAACATACAACTTTCCTCTAGTTCTTTAATGCCTCCTCATCCCCACTATCATGACCCCAATTCTACCTTACAAATCTGACTTGACCAGAGCATGTACACTGGTACAGATAAGAGCTCTTAACACAGGGAATCCAGGACAGATAATCCCCTCAGGACCAATAATGAGAGCAGCAATGCCAGGAGGGTAAGGGGAAGGTGGGGGAGAAAGAGGAGCCGATCACAATGATCTATATATAACCCCCTCCCAGGGGGACAGACAAAAGGAAAGTGGGTGAAGGGAGACAGTGGTTGGTGTAAGACATGAAAAAAAATTTATAAATTATCAAGGGTTCATGAGGGAGGGGAGGGGAGGGGAAAAATGAGGAGCTGATATCAAGGGCTCAAGTAGAAAGAAAATGTTTTGAAAATGATGATAGCAACATATGTACAAATGTGCTTGACACAATGGTTATATGTATGGAGTGTGATAAGATCTGTATGAACCCCCAATAAAATGATTAAAAGGAAGAACTGCTGCCCTGCCATGCAACCTCTCAGAGGGAGGGAAGTGGCTGTGTCAAGAGCTCATAGCTAAAGGGCAAGGGGAGCCTGGAAGTCAGGTGTCCGGGGCTCCTTGTCCAGTGCACATCCTCCATCATCCCAGGGTGCTGAGATGCCTAGGTTTAAGATGCTTCCCCAGCTGTCCCTGGCCCCTGCCACCAAAGGAGTCTCCGGTCTGAGCTTAAGTCTGTCCTCTCTCAGCCAGGGATGCCCCTGCCTTTGATGCCTGCTCGCCACTGCCCACCCATCTGCTCAGGCTGCCCTCCCTATGACAGCTTGTGGGAAGGGAGCAGTGGGAGTGGGGAGGGTGGTTGGGGCAGCTGGGCAGCCGCCCCCACTCGTCCCTGGCACGGCTCTGCCCAGCACACAAAGGGCAGAGTGAATCCTCTTGCATACCCTGCAGCTGAGAGGCTGGGAGAGAGGATGAGGAGGAGCGTACATGGAAGGGGGGGATCCCATGGGACTCTCCATCACCCCTGACTCTCAGAGGGGTTTAACTCAGAGACAGACACAAAGTGGGCATCTCAGTCCTATTCTTAGCTAGCAAGAGGTGCCGTGTGTGCGCGCGCATGCGCATTAGAGAAGATGGTCATGATAACTGGATTTTCACATCATCGTATGTGTGTGTGTGTGTGTGTGTGTGTGTGTGTGAGAGAGAGAGAGAGAGAGAGAAATAGAGAAGATGGTCATGATGATGGGACTTTCACATCATCAGATCATTTCACAGATGGGACACTAGAGCCCAGAAAGACAGGAAATCACACGCAGAGCCCAGAACTGGCTGTGAGACCACTTAGCTGGACACAGACCCAACACGTGACCTAGTGATGGTCTGCTGAGAGCCCCTTAGTGCTGGTGACACAGTCTTGTCTTTTTAAATTTATTTAAATTTTTTTTTCAGTCTTTTCTTTTTTTTAATAAATCATCTTATTGGGGGCTATTACAGCTTGCATAACAATCCATACATGCATTGTGTCAAGCACATTTGTACGTATGTTGCCATCATACTTTTTAAAACATTTTTTTTCTACTTCAGTCCTTGGTATCAGCTCCTCATTTTTTTCTGACCTCCTTCACCCTCTCACCCTCATGAACCCTTGACAAATTATAAATTATTATTATATCTTACACCATCCATTGTCTCCCTTCGTCCGTGTCTCTGTGGTTGTCACCCTGGAGAGGGGTAGATGTCTATCATTGTCATCAGTTCCCCCTTTCTTCTCCCACCTTCCCCTGACACAGTCTTTTGGATGGTAGAATACAATTAAATCTCAACACCACACCTGCCCCGGGCCCTGTGGACCAGGTCTGCAGTCTAGTTGGGAAGACCAGGCACCCAACCGCACGCATACCCACAGCTGACAAGAACCACAGTGTGGTGAGTGGAAGGAGAGTCCCAGAGAACGGAGAAGGCCCTGTGGGGGAAGGGACATCTTGGAGGGATGGTATTGGCTCTGGCTTTTACAATGAGGGATATTGAGAGAGGCGGCAAGATTCTGGGGGTGGGCTTTCCAGGAGGGAGAAAATGGCTAGAGTCGAGGTCAAGAAGGAAGGAGGCTGGAGCGGACTGGGGTTGGGCATAGTCGCCTCGATGGCTAAAGAGGGAGATGGGAACTTCATGGTTGAAGAGCCATGCGATGCCTGACCAAACGCCCTCTTCCAAGGATTCAAGACTCTACCCAGCTGGTGACAGCACGTGGAAGTGGAGGCTCCCCTTCCTTGACCTGACAGCAGACAAACATCGAGTGAAGAAGAAGGAAGAGATGGAAAAGAAGGGATGGCAATTCCGGAGCTCGGAGAACGACATGTAACCTGAAGGCAGCCTTCCAGCCATAGGAGCCCCCAGGAGAGCAGCGGCTTCTCTCTAGGAAGAGACCCCTTCCTCTCCCGACACCCACAGGTGATGGCAGGCCCCAGCACCTGCTCAGAACAAGTCCCTCAACTGGACACTTCGGCCTCCTGAGATGCCCGCAGGGACCCCGAGATGCCCGCAGTTCTCCCGCTGGCCCGCTGCCCACCTGGCTCAGGCCCAGTACTCGTGAGTCAGCCGATCAATCCCACTGTTGCCAGGACAACTGAAGGCAGGAGCGGGAGCCCTGGGGAGCTGACAGGGGTGGACACTGCAGGGGGGCTGTCTCCAGCATCTGGCACCCGGGCACAGCTGAGGCTAAGCTGAGAGGAGGGTGCTTCTCCCCACTCCCCCTGAACAGTGCCCCCTCCCCCTCTTCCATGCATCCTAGGACACTCTCCCTGAGAGAGGCTTAGGCAAATATTTAAAGAGGACTGTTGTGTGGTGAGGAGGGTGATGGGAGCAAATATTTCCCTTCCCTCTGCCCTCCTGTGAGGGGCTCTCGGCTCCAATGCCAGGCTGTTGTGCAAGCTCTTGAGTGAAGGCCCTCCAGCTGGTCAGGGTGTCCTTGTGGGCACAGGGCGCCTGTCAGGGCTAGCGAGGGAGGCCAGTTCATGATTAAAGGTTAGAGCCAAGGTGTGAAGGACCCCTGAGCAAGGGCCAGGAAGGGGCTGAAGTGTTGGAGTCAACATGGAGGAGGGTCAGGGAGTCAGGTGAGGGGTGAGGGCTATGACTTACACACACATGAAAATTTTGGGGGAAAGGGATGGTAGAGAACACCTGGCCCATAGTGAAAGGGAGCCCAGGAGAAAGAAGGTCGCCAAACTCAAGTCATGAGTAGGCTTGACTCAGTGGAAGAGGCAGGGAAACGACAGAGGGGAGTAGAGAAGGCCGAGGAAGGCCTGTATTGAGTGAGCGGTAGGCATTCTTGGGGCTAATTTGGCATCCAACCAAATAACCCAGACCTTTGCCTTTGAGTCAATTCTCACGCCACGTGCTATAGAGGAGAACGGTGTACATCAGATTGTCCTGCCTGTGGATCCGTACAGAAGCCAACCACTACCAGCCGGCCCACTCGACCATGGCCCACAGGATGCGGCTGAATGGCCGACTTCCAGATCGGTGGTTGTACACTATCTATCTCCACCACTCAGGGACCTAACTGAAAACAACACAACACAAACTCACTGCCATTGAGTTGCTGCTGACTCACAGCCACCCTATAGGACAGGGGAGCACTGCCCCTGTGGGTTTCTGAGACTGTCGCCGTTTATGAGAAGAAGAAAACCCATCTTTCTTCTGGGGAGAGGTTGCCGTTTCAAACTCCTGACCTTGCAGTTAGTAGCCCAACATGTAACCACTGCTCCATCAGGGCTCCTCCAGGGAACTAGTTGGGGGTCAAGGCATATAAAGAGAGGAGCACAGAGGAGTAGGGGGATAGGTATCAGTGGGCTGATTCAAGGTCGCAAAGATTGGGAACAAATCAACCACCACACCTAGCCCTGCACATGGCTTTCTGGGCGTAAGAGAGAAGTGACAGGCGTGGGATCTGCCATCAGCTGTCTTCAGCTTACAAACCCATGAGGGGATGAAGTACACGGATATGAGCTAATGGCTCAGTGGATAGAAGTCGGGAAAGAATGACTAGGGGTAAGTCCGAGGTTAGGAACCCCATTGTGGGAGGAAGTGTGGGCATTTCTTTCTTTCTTCCTTCTTCTTCTTCTTTTAAGGTAACACCTGGCTTGTCCTGGAAGTTTCTGCCCCCACAACCTTATTCCTTCTTTTTCTTCTTATTGTTTTTAAAAGAAATCATTTTATTGGGGGCTCTTATAACAATCCATACATCCATTGTGTCAAGCACAGTTGTAAACATGTTGTCATCATCATTTTCAAAACATTTTCTTTCTCCTTGACCCCCTTGGTATCAGCTCCTTATTTTTTTCCTCCCTCCCTTGTGAACCCTTGATAAATGATAAAATTTTTTTTTCATATCTTACACCATCCACCATCTCTCTTCACCCATGTTTCTGTGGTTTGTCCCTCTTGGGGGGGTGTTATACGTCAATCATTGTGATCAGTTTCCCCTCTGTCCCCCCACTGTTCTTCTACCCTCATGGTCTCACTATTCTCATTATTGTTCCTGAGGGGGTTCTCTGTCGTGGGTTCCATGTGCCGAGAGCTCTTGTCTGTTCCAGTGTGCATGCTCCAATCTAGCCGGATTTGTCAGGTAGAATTGGGGTCATGATAGTGGTGGTGGTGGTGGGGGGCAAGCATTAAAGAACTAGAGGAATGTTGTATGTTTCATCAGTGCTATACTGCACCCTGGCTGACTTGTCCCATCCTTGTGACCCTTCTGTATGGGAATGTCCAGTTGTCTACAGATGGGCTTTGGGTCTCCACTCTGACCCTCCTCATTCAAATTAATATAATTGTTTTGGGTCTTCTGATCTCTGATACCTCATCCCTTCGACACCTCATGATCACATAGGGTGGTGTGCTTATGCATGTAGGCTTTGTTGTTTCCTTGCTAGATGGCTGCTTGTTTAACTTCAAGCCCATAAGACCCCCGATGCTATATCTTCTAATAGCCGGGCACCATTAGCTTTCTTCACATTTGCCTATGCACCATTTTGACTTCAGTGATCATCCATGTAGGGAAGGTGACCATCACAGAATGCCAGGTTATTAGAACAAAGTGTTCTTGTATTGAGGGAGTGCTTGAGTAGAGACCCATTGTCAGTCTGCTACCTTAATACTTAATATATAAATATATGTACATAGACCTATATCCCTATTGTTATACATTAATATATTTATATATATACACGCCTATATTTGCACCTCTATAAATGCCTTTTACCTCCTAGTTCTTTCCTCTATTTCCCTTTACTTTCCTCCTGTCCCATTATCATGTTTGACCTTCATTCGGCTCTCTGTACCTCCTCTAGACTACACTGTACTTAATCAAACCCCACCAGGCATTCTATGCCCTCTTCACCATCAACTTTAGATCTGTTGTTGTTCCCTTGTCCCTAGGTTTGTTGACTCCCCTCTTCCTTCCCCCCCACCTCCTCACCCACGGAGAAATGGACATTTCTGATCCCCCTTAAATGGATGTCAAAGCATCTTCTGCCTTCATCAGTGCCCGGTGGGTCTACAGGCACGTTCCTCAATCTCCTTGCTGAGCTCGTCCCTATTTGGCGGGGGCACGGGGGCATTCTGTTAGGAAATGTGATGGATGGTCCACCGGGCCTGACCCCCGGCTCCCTGAGCGGTTCAACCTTGCAGAAGGACAGGAGGAGCCAAAGAGCTACAGGGGTAGGTGCCAGCAAGAAAGCCAGGTGTTCCAGGAAGACGCCCACGGTGAGAGGTGCAGATTGCCCAAGGACAAGTTTGCTCAGCTCACTAGGTCTGCTCTACTGGGGCCAAGAGGACTCATGTGCCAGGACCAAGGGCCCTTGGATGCTCTTGTAGCTGGCTTATCAGAGCCTTGGTTCTGGAGGGCCAGGAAGAAACAGACTTCAAAGCTGAGGGCTTGGCTGGCAAACAGAAGCCCTGGTCCTTCACATCTGGCCCCCTCTTCCCACTGGTGCATATAAGACCCTGGTCAGCCCTGAGAGATGAGGGAAGGAAGAAGCCTACAGCAAGATGGATGCTGGTAGCAAAGAGATCTTGATGGAGAGTCCACCGGTGAGTGTGATTGTATGAGTGTGCATGTGTGTGTGCACGCACGTCTTGCCTCTACAAGCTTCTCTGGGTCTGTTTCTCATCCAGATTCATCCACTCAACCAGCCACCCAACCCGTTTCCACTGGGTCCATTCTGACTCATGGCAATCTCATCGACCTCTGTGGAAAACCGTGCTCCCCGGGGCTTTCAGTGGCTGGGTTCTCAGAAGTAGATTGCCAGGCCTCTCATCTGAGATGCCCCCGGGTGGACTCCCAACCCCTGACTGCAGTAAGGGGATACACCAAGACCACAGCGAGCCCTTTGGAGAGAGAGATAGGATTGAGAGCCACCCCAGAGGCATATGGAAAACATGGTAGGCAGCATGCAGGCAGACATGTTTGGGAGGCTCAGATGACATTTCAGTGGCATCTGGAAGAATAAATAGGAGCTCACTGGTGGAAAAGGAGGAAGGCATTCTGGGAAGAAGGGGTGGTATGTGCAAGGGCATGCAGGAACGAGGGACCCTGGATCTTTTGGGGAGTAGAAAACAGTGGGGCACAGCTGGTACCAGGGACTTATGGGAAATGGTAGGAGATAAGGTGGGTAAAACAGGCTCCTGTGCGTTCCTCCAAACTAGTCCTCTTTCCTAAGCATCTAGGGGTTTGTTGAAATTCTAGGCATCTTCCAGAGCAGCTCCAGTCCCATCTCCTCCAAGCAGCCTCCTGGGACCGTCTCGGCCCTCCTTCGCAGGCCCCTAGGATTAACTGCCCAGCTCTGGGAGGGTGTGGGAAAGCCTGTGCTGGGAGAGGAGGGGGTCATCCCACGCCCTCACCCATGTCTCCCTGCTTGTCTCATCATTCCAGGACTACACAGCAGCCCCCCGGGGCCGGATTGGCATCCCCTGCTGCCCAGTGCACCTCAAACGCCTTCTCATTGTGGTTGTTGTCGTGGTTCTCATCGTCGTGGTGATTGTAGGCGCCCTGCTCATGGGCCTTCACATGAGCCAGAAACATACGGAGATGGTGAGCAAACCTGGGGTGGGGTGGGCAGGGGCAGAGGGCCTGGGTGGGGGGCGGGGGTCGCACAAGATATCGTTCAAGGGGGACGGAGAGGAGGAGGAAAGAGGCAAAGAGGCAGCACCTGGGAAAGACAGAGGCAGGGACTGGGCACGGGCGTGGCCCGAGCTTGTCCACAAGCCCCCTGCTCTACTGCCTGGCAGCCTGCTCCCAGCAGCATCCTTCCAGCAGCCTGCTGTGTTTGAGTAAAGGGGCCAAGGGTGGGCACGGGTGCTGAAGGGGTGTGTGTGTGGAAAAGGAATGCCAGACAGATTATGCTCCATCCCCAGGTCCTAGAGATGAGCATGGGAGGGCCAGAAGCCCAGCAGCGCCTGGCCCTGAGTGAACGCGAGGGCACCACTGCCACCTTCTCCATCGGCTCTACTGGCATGGTCGTGTACGACTACCAGCGGGTGGGTATGCCTGGACTCTGGGCATCAGTAACAAGAGTTTGCTATACCCACTCAGTTGTGTCTCTTCAGCACATTCAAGTCTCCCATTCCCCAACCTCTTTGCCTCCTCTTGGGGGTGCCCAGGCCCCAGATGCCAATGGGGCTTCCATGGGGCTGGCCAAGGATCGGGTGGGCTGTGAGCAAGGCAGGGCCCTTCCTAAATGAACTCTGGTCCCTGTGCCCAGCTTCTGATCGCTTACAAGTCCGCCCCTGGGACCTGTTGCTACATCATGAAGATGACTCCGGAGGGCATCCCCAGTCTCGAGGCGCTCACTAGAAAATTCCAGAACTTCCAGGTGGGTGTGTGGGTGAGAAGGAATGGGCTGTCTCCCTCCCACGGTTGCTGTGGGGACAATGGGAGATGATGGGTATTGTCAACTGTACAGCACTGTCCCTGGTGGGCTGCCAGGTGTGTGCCCTCCTGACACTCACCTGTACCACTTCTGCCCACTCCCCTGCCAAGTTATCCAACCTACCACCCAACCCAGACAAAACTTCAGTGCTTGTGCCTCTAGCATTAGCCCCTCTGTTCTGGGGAGGAAACGGGCTCAGAGAGATTGCCTGACACACCTGAGGTCCCACAGTAAGGCTGGGGGTAAGAGGAAAACTCAATCCCCAGGCTCTAAATTAGACGTCCTTTCTAGGCCAAGTCTGCAGCGCCTGTCCCTAAGTTGGGGCAAGAGGAAAGGCGCAACTCGGGCTCAGAGTCCTCTGGCGATCCGGCCTTCCTGGGCACCACGCTGAGCATCCTGTGTGGCGAGGTGCCCCTCTACTACATCTAGGAGCCCAGGTGAGCGAGGGCGTGCGGGGGCGGGGTCAGAGCCTGGAGCAACAGTGGTCCCGGAGCGCTGTCGCGGCCGGCCCTGGGCAGCGTGGGGCAGGGAAGGTTCCAAGACACAAGTCCTGGGCAAGCGAACAGTTCTTCCTTTGCTTCACAGGATCTGCGGAAGCCCCAAAAGGTCAGGCAAGACCAGCAAGTTGATCCCAGCCGCCACAGGGACTGGCCCCGGAGAAACGGGAGTTTGTTGGGGGGAGACGAGGGCTGGGAGAGGAGAGGTGTCTCCCATGGGCCAGGGTGTTCCTACCTTAAAGAATAAAGCAGCCTTATTGAAAAAAAGAAGAAAAAAAGAGTCGTGCCTCTTCTATCACCGGGCACCTCCTCCGACCTGGTTCTTGGTGGGCAGCCGCCGAGGGAGGGAAATAGAGCCCCAGGAGCCAGGGGGAGCACACCCCTTCTCCGTGTCCCACCGGCCAGTGGGTGGGCAATGGGGAGCGATCCGCGGGCTGCAGGCGCCCTCCAGTGGTGTCTCCCGAGAGGGAGACAGACAGACAGGCGGAAAGACAGAAACAGAGACCGAGCGTCTGAATCCGCAGGCTAGGGGGACGCGCGAGCCCAGAAACCCCGGGGCAGCGG